ATAAGACTGGCACCATCCAGGACCAGAAGACGATGGTTTTCGCAATGACGGACCAGGTGCAAGGAACCTGGATGTCAGTACTGCATAGTCAAGGGCTGTCTCTTATACACATCTAGATGTGTATAAGTGTATGACCTTGCTGTTTGTGACCGTTGCTGTTTACTATTCTGTTTGTGACCGTGTATGACCTTGCTGTTTGTGACCGTTGCTGTTTACTATTCTGCTTTCCACAAACACTTAGAAAGACAGAAGACGCCAAGAGCTAAAACAGTGATACGGAAAGCACCAGCCATACACTAACAAAGAAAACATAGAGTCAGAGACAGAAAGAGCGAAGTGAGATTCTTCATTGGGGTTGCTTCCTGACGGTGTTCGCGGGCGCAAGCTATGCTGGCTGCACCTGCTTGTAACTTATAAATTTTGGATGTCTGAAGCATGCAGCAGACATACTATGCTCCTGTTCTTGCGTTTACTTATATAATAATATCCTGTATGGGAGAGAGAAGAAGGAAGGGGAGAAGGAGAGGGGTAGGAGGAGGAATGGTGTGGATGAACCAACAACGAACGAGGAGTACAAGTGCTGGATCAGGTTCATCAAGGGAATCACATTCTTTCTCAACTTTTATGATCATGACATCATGTTTCAAAAAATTTCATTCAACTCCTTCAGCACTGGTCCGCCACTCATTAAACCGTCTCCACCGGCCTCAAGAAATTCTTAACCATCTTCACCCGTTGCAGTAGGTAAAGGTCCGTCGTACATCTGGGCCCAAGGCCCGTACTCCGTGCAAGCAGAGATTCGAACCGGCGACCTCGGCCTCAAGAGCGGTGTTATCACTGTGTTCTTAACCATCACAATTGTCCCTACTGTCCCAACTGTCCCAATTGTCCCAACTGTCCCAACTGTCTCAATTGCTGTGCTGTGCTGTGCTGTTCTGTCCTTGTCGTTTTGTTTTGTGACCTTTTTTCTCATTTCAATTTGTTGTATGTCTGCCGGTTCCCTTCTTTGCCCTTTGCATGAAAAGAAGGGTATTAAAAAAAAAGAAAAAAAAAAGAAAAGAAAAGAAGGGTATTGTGCTACTGGGGCAGGGTCCTCATTGCCAGGACTAACAGATATTGGCCGTAAATAAATTAAAAAAAAAAAAAAAAAAAAAAAAAAAAAAAAAAAAAAAAAA